TTGTTGACATTATTAACTGACATGCGTCATTTAATCGGGGGGAGTGTGTATGAAATTAGACGTTATAGTTACCCGGGGATTTAGCTCCGGGGGTCTTTTGCACGGGGTCTTTTATAGCGAGCACATGGAAATTTAGTTGTTGTTCTGTTTTTGTACAATTATAGTTTTTATTTTAATCTTTATCGAGTTTAGTTCAATAATATACGGATTTTCCGTACACTTTTAATTGCAAGAACTTTGTAGTTGGTGCATCGAGAGTAGAACCAAGGGCCATGCAGCAGTCACAGCAGACAAGTTGTTTCTCCACTTTCTTTGCAACATATCCAGCAATGTAGGAAATCGAAGCCTTCTTAAATTCAGACAAGCAAGAAACATTTGGTGAATCGCAATAGTCATGATCACTTTGAACTGGACTTCTCTCTGTTAGGTCATATTTTCGAATTATTGCAGCATTTGTGATGGTGACTGTGTCAATTGTGCTAAATTCCTTTTCTTTCACATTACAGGTATCAGACACAGCACTGAGGATTTTAATGGGATCTCTCTTTTCACAGTTTCCTTTGCCACCCTCGATATGGCTACGCAAGAGAAGGCGCTTGTATGCAGCAGTAAACTGTTGGGTTGTTGGATTATTGTTGAATCCTCCAGCTGAACGCACTGCTCCAAAAAACAACTCTAAATGGTCTTGACTCAACTTGTAGGTGAGCAGGTATTTCAGTGGAGCATCTTTAGCCTCAACAAGTGTATGGAAGATGTCCTTGGTACTTCTAATTGCAACGAAGAATCCAATAAAACCAGTCTTCCTTCGTGTTGTGTGCATTGCTTGACCAGCTGGATTTTTTAGGCCGAGAATATACTGATATGCCTCATCAAGAAATGGACTCCATGAACTTTTGTTGCTGACACGAAGTGGTGACTTGTAACCTTTTGCAAGTGGATTTCTGGAATTAAGGATGTCAAACAGGCGATCAAAAGTGCGTAAAAACTTCACTGTTGCTTCGCTACCTTGAAATTGCGGGAGTTTCAATTCGTTGGCACAGTACTCAATAGCATCAGCGACACTTGAACTAAAAGCTTGTGCAGCCAAGTTGACCTTCATCTTTTGCTGCTTCCACTTGATGTGAGCCATCTTCAATTTGTTACCGAGTCGGAGCCCTTCTGTATGTTGAAGCATTTCAAGCTGGACCAAATACTGCCATTCAATCTTTCCACCATCTTTATCATACAATATCCCTCCTTCTGCCAGTGTATTCCTCACCAGCTTTAACATGTGACAGACATCAAGCAGGACATAAATTTTCTCCTTCTTATCTTGAGGGTGTGGGAAATATGGAACCATGTTAGACGCTTTCAAGATTGCTCCAAGGGCAGATAACATGCTAAAATGACAGGAAAGACCATCACATATTAGGGCTGAGACTTTAACACCAACATGTAAGCGCTGAATACAGACTTTCACAAGATTTGCCCGTTCTACACCGCTGAGTCCGTCTACGAAAAAGTAACCACAAGGAACTTTCCAAGACTCATTAAGACTGACCACCATGAACACCAATGCATCTTTTGCTGGAGGTAAAGTATCATCAACAACACCATTTCCAAGATCAACGTAGCCATGGTACTTTTTGCCATCCCACCATATATTCTTTTTGATGGCCATTTCATCCAGCATTAAGGAGCAAATGACTTCCTTCCCATTTTTCTTGGCATCTTCAACCTTTACTTTAAGGGCATTGAAAGCTGGTTTAGTGAAGCCGGGATCTGCAGCAACTTTTCCATACCATCGTCTAATTTGCGATTGACTTGGAAGAGCAATATCAAAAGTTTTCCTGACAAACTCGTACGCCTTGGCAGAGTAAAATTGCAATGTCAATGCAAACGACTTCAACACTGGTGAGTATCTTCTTCCTTTCCCTGACTTTTTTGCTGTCATCCTCTTCATTAAAGCCAATGGTACTCCAGAAAATGTCTCATTTAGCATTTCCTCACATTTAGTAGAGATAAGATGGTGATCTCTAAGTGATTTCACAATTTTCTTCAAGGAAGTGACCTTTCTTTTTAGACGCCTAGATTTTTGTTGCGATGATTTTAATTTTCTTTGTAATTTTTCAATCTTTACATTTTTCGTTTCTACTTCCTGCTGCATTTTGTCAAGTGATGATAAACATTTCTTTTTAGGTGATGGACCTTCTTCCTGAGGAGCAGACATTGGATCTTCCTGAACTTCAGATGTTTCAATTCTGGATGCTGTATGGTATTGTGGCAACTCATCACTAACTGTTGTAGTTGTTTGCCTAGGTACTGGCCGTTTACGACATTTTTTCACCTGTACATCATGAATAATAACAAGGGACAAATGGTTAGTATTTCTTAATATTAGTAGAGACAAAGGAGCTAGGTTTCTTGATTTGAAGCTTAAAATCTGGTTGATTTCATACTTATTGTTAGGTAGATTTTTAATTCTTAATTGATTTCATGTTATTGTTAAATTTACCCACATTAATTTATTAAACCCATAACTAACTCACTCTTGTTAATTAATAAAGTAATCTATGTTGGAAGATTTTAGTGTTAGGTGTTGGCAGATTTTTTGGTTAACCCAAATAATCTGCAAAAGACTCTTCACAGTGACAAGTAAATCATCTAGCAACAGAGTAAAATATAAAGTAGGGCGTGTTACTGTAGAGCGCATTGCAGCTGAATGGGTTAATGTCTAGAAATAAGATTGGGTGCACGCAGAAGTATTGGAAATTAAAATAACAATTATTGTGAGTGAGCATGGTATTTTTTACACATCTTGATCAGATCACCTTTTTGAGGTATTTTGGGAATTTTTTGAATCGTGTGGGTACCGCACTATCCTTCAGTCTTGGTTTTTGGCCACTTCTGTCAATATCACATTCCATGAAGTGGTCTGAGCAGACAATCGAACTCTTGCTTGGACACCAATCTTTGCGATGTATTTTTTCTACCCATTGTTTTCTCTTATTTTCATCAGTTGGTAAACTATTAGAGAGGGTTTTATCAAATTGTTTAAAAATTGTAATTAGGTACTTTACTGTATTGTTGTAATTATCAATTATAATATAGTTATTATCGTTTTATTACTTTTGGTGTTTTATAGTCTTATTACAATGTTTTTATTCATATCTAAATACCTGTATTTCCTCTCTCTCTATCCTTAGAGACACCCGACCCTTTGGTATTCCCAACCTGCACATCCCATGCCAGGATATGGGCCCACATGTATCATGCATAACTTTTCTGAGGGACCGGTCATTAATAATGGGAGGGGAGGTGGGCGAGAAATGGAGGGCGGTTTTATAACTAAGGGGCGACCCCAATTTTTTAATACTTTCATACTCATTTAGGAGCTAAAAAGGTTTACTCTGATTTTGATAGGCCTGTTTTCAGGCTACGCTCCAGTGTCTATAATCGTAGTTTCCATAGTTTATAGCAATTCACCATAGGAGTCGGAGTAAATAACAACCATTTTGAATACTGGTCCCCAGTGGGGGGGGGGTCCTAAGTTTTCTAGATGAAGGTGGGGTGTCTTGAAAATAAAGGTGTTGGGATTGGAGGCAGCTCTAAAAAAAATTTAATATTTGGTATTTATCACCCACCGCCCCCCTCCCATTAGTAATGATCGTTCCATTACCGATAAAATGATCTAGGAAATTTCCTTTTTACCACTGACTCTTCATCATCACTTCCTTCGCTATCACTACGTGATTCTCCTTTGTTTTCTCCAATTTTTTTCCGCTTTGCACAGCCAAAAACACAGCACTGAGTTCCTCGAATTTTCGCCATCCTTGGAGGTATTGTGAAAACAAATTTGGCGCCAGAAAAGTCCTAACCCCGCCCATTTTAATTTCTCTAATTAAATTTCAGATCTACAAAAATACCAATACATGTATGAAATTTTACTATTTTTGCGACGGACTTTTTAATTACATTCAAGTACCGTAAATTTCAATATTATACGTAGTCTACATGTGCAAAACGTCAACGCCTGGAAAACAATAAGAGTATGAGACGTTGCTTAATAAAAATATTAGTAATAAAAGTGCCTTTTTCTGATTCAAAAGTTGCCCTTGAGGCGTTGTGTCTTCTCTGCACAAAAATCGAAATAATGCAAATTTCCTTTATTAATTTCAAGATTTACAACTCATACTGGAAGAATCATGTGAAGTATACTCATTAAAAAAAACAAAGTATTTAATACCCCATTCCCAATTTTAAAACAAATCATCCTTTTAAACATTTAATTTTAGATTTACAAATATTTTAGCTTCGTGCTTTTTGTAATTGACACACACAACAAATATTGTACAATTATATACAATATTATAATTTATATACACTCTTCCATATCGTAATAGTTCTTAATAGTCTTAATACAGTGTTTAGTAGACGATAGCTCCACTCGGTATGATAATAAAGAATTTAATAACAAACTATAACCCAGAAAATAACACTCAAAATAACACTTTCGTTCTTCGACATATAAACAATTTTACGGTACGTTTTTGAACCACGAACACGCTCTCGTCCCAGTACTTTTGCTCGTCCAAAACACTAATTATTTTAATTATGAATGTTAAATGTAAACAATATATATAGTAAAAGTTGTCCACTCTCCTTAACATTCCCCCTCCCCGCACTGGGAACATCTAGTTCAAGTGCGAATAGAAATATATATATATATATATATATATATATATATATATATATATATATATATATATATATATATATATATATATATATATATATATATATATATCAACTGACAACGTTTCAACAATTTAAGGGAACCAACTTGTGTATTGGTCGCATCAGACTTTTGTCCCCAATTTGTACTTGAACTAGCAACTCTGTTGTGTCCATCCTTGCCTGGAAAGGTATTAAGAATTCTCCCCAACGCCCACTGTCCTCGAGGAAGATTTGGCTGCACAATTAACACAACGTCATCGATTTGCAAATCCTTGACCACTTGTGTCCATTTAGGACGGATAGTAAGCATCGGTAAATACTCCTTCAACCAGCGTCGCCATACCAACGATATTAGATGTTGCACTTTCCTCCACCGTTGCTGTGGATGAAATCCAGTCGTTTCTTCAGCTTCAGGGGCAAACTGACCACCCATCTGGCCATAAAGGATGATTTGGAGTCAGCGGGATTAAGTCACGAACATCGGCAGACTGATACGTTAACGGTCTGGAATTTATAAGACTCTCAGCTCCGGTAAAGATGGTGATCAATTCCTCATCATTGACATCACTGTTGCTTAATACTGCGTATATCGCTTTCTTTGCAGCCTTTACCATTATTTCGTGAGCTCCCCCGAAGTGTGGGGCGGCAGGCGGGTTGAACAACCATCGAACTCTCTTATCCGAAGTTTTCCGTTTGATTTTCTCTTCGTCTAACTGACCAGCAAGCTCCTTCAGTTCGTTTACCGCACCAACGAAGTTAGTACCATTGTCACTTACAACCTCCTTGGGTACTCCTCTCCTGCTGGTAAATCGAGCGAATGCATTAAGGAATGCATCTGTGTCCAACGACCATGCCATCTCCAGGTGTACAGCTCTGACTGATAGACATGTGAACACGCATAGATACCGCTTCTGTCTCTTTCGACCACGACCCTGAATGGTAATAAACGGACCACCAAAATCTACTGCACATTGATCAAACGCCCGATAGGTGAATCGCAATCTCACACCTGGAAGCGGGGCCATCACTTGGCTGGCTGGCTTATTCCGTCTTCTTCTGCAACCGTAGCACTGGTTTTCCCAATCTCGAATTTCCTCACGTGCCGCAATGATCCAAAATCTTTCACTCAGTTGACTGAGAATGAAATTTACTCCAGCTGCATGGTTCGCTTTCTCGTGGTAATGTTTTACTATCAATCTCGTAACCCAATGTCCTCGTGGCAGGATAATTGGACTTCGCACGTCATACGGTAGCTAGTTGCTCTGCGAAACTGAGACGCCCTTGTGATCGGATAACTTCATCTGCATCAATTATGGGATTCAATTTAACAAGCTGACTCTTCGCAGAAACAGGTCTTCCTTTCTTGATTTCACTGTACTCGGCACCAAAAACTTCACTCTGAGCGGCACGAATGACTTCCATTTCAGCTTCCCTGAGTTCTTCTGAAGTCAGTTCCTTTTCAGTTCGTCTTTGGCCCTTATGACGCATGTTGAACAGCGCTCTTCGAACTCTGGCTTGTAACCTTGTCAACCGCGACCAATCGGAAAAGCGTCTCGGATCCAATCTCCATTCGTTCTGCTCCTGTTCGGAATCCAACTTCTTTTCTGCACATGTTGATAATGTGATGTTGCTGACGCTTTTGGCATGAGTCGATCTGATCTCTGGTGGGTTCTCGGGGCGGTTTTCTGTCTTCATCTTTGGCCACTGGTCACGACCTTTCATCAGCCAATTTGGGCCTTCCCACCAAAACGAACTCTCAGCAAGCTGCGTTGGACTTGCGCCTCTCGTACATAAGTCGGCTGGATTCTGATCTGTACGTACATGCTGCCACTGGGCTGGATCCGAACCACTCTGAATTTCACCAATCCTGTTCGCCACAAAGGCTCGGAAATCTTTGCCTCTTCCACGAATCCACCACAGTACATCCATGCTATCTGAATAAAACGACACATCTCGCATTGGAGTGCCCAAGACTTGGACGATTGATTGAGTTAACCGCAATCCCATGATAGCTGCCATCAGCTCCAATCTTGGAACAGTTGTTGGGGTAAGAGGTGCCACCTTAGACTTTGAAGCTACCAGGCGACAGGTAACTGCTCCGTTCTCGTACTCATGTCGGATATACACCACAGCACCATAGGCATCTTTCGAAGCGTCTGCGAATGTAATAATTTCCTTCGAACGAACTGGCTCTGCAGCACGAAGACATCTCGGTACTGTCACCGTGTTCAGCATAGGCAACTGATGAAACCACTGTTCCAATCTCAAAGCAATTTCATCTTTAATCTCGTCGTCCCATCCATAACCTCTAGACCACAGTTCCTGCAGTAGTATCTTGGCAATGACGATAAATGGACTAATGAATCCAAGTGGATCAAATATCGTTGCGATCTTCTTCAATACGTTTCTCTTGGTTATCTGTAATCGTGGCATTTCTGATGTCGGAATCTTGAATTCATCTTTCTGACTGTTCCAAGCAAGTCAGAGTGTTTTCGTTGTGGGGTTTTCACCGTCGTTTATGGTGATCTCGGAGGCTCGATCCTTTTCTGGAATCACTTCTAATACCTTAGGCGAGTTGGATACCCACTTTCTGGCTTCCATACTTGCTTTTGCCCAAAGTTCTTTCAGCTCGTGATACAACTTCACACCTTCTTCTTCACTTTCTACACTGTCAATAGAGTCATCCATGTAGGTGGATTTCAATACTGTCTCTGCGGCTAATGAGTAAAGATCCCGATACTTTCGAGCGTTCTCCTGGGCGACAAACTGTGCCTCCATGGGCGCGGAATTCTTACCAAAAACAACTCTGCTGAACTCGTATTCCTCCGGTTCACGTCCAGGATCAAGATCTCTCCAGAGCATTCTGAAATATGGGCGGTCTTCCATAGGAATTTCTATCTGAAGATACATTTCTTTAATGTCACAAGCAACAGCTACAGGGTTACGACGGAATCTCATCAGGACATTGAACAGATCTTGCTGCAGTTTTGGACCAGCATGGATAACATCGTTCAGAGAAATCCCATCATGTTTAGCTGAGCAATCAAAAACTATGCGAACTTTGGTTGTAGACTTATCCATTCTAACAATGGGAAAATGAGGCAGGTACCAAGCTCCAGGCAGTTCTTTGGCTGGATCAATCTTTCGGAGGTAGCCTTTCTTCAAGTATGCTTCGATAGTGCTTTGGTACTCTTCACCAACGGTCGGATTCTTCATTAGATTTTTCTCCGTAGAACGCAGGCGTGTGATAGCCATAGTCCGGTTGTTTGGCAACTGTGGTTGTGCTTTCTTCCACGGTGTTCCGACTTCATATCTTCCATCAACAATCCGCAACGACTCTCCAACTTTACTAAGGGCTGACTTTTCCTCTTGTGTTAGTATCTTTGTATTCACCTCGGTTCCTCCACGTTCAATCTCCCAAAAATTTCTTAATGTTTCGTCCAGGTTACAGCAGTCTGGATTGGCGAAGATTGTTGCCTGTTTCGTGCAAAGTGTTCTCATCACACGCGATCTCACGATTGATTTTCCATTCTTCTCTGGGGGTCCTATACAGGTCCATCCGAGTTGTCCCCGTCGTGCCACTGGCTCGCCTTGCGATCCTTGAAAATCAACTACGGAAAAGTGTAATTCTGGATTATCCACTCCAATCAACAGGTCAACGAATGTCTTTTTCGCTGGCGTTGGGAAGTTGCACGGACGTAAGTGTGGCCAATCCTTCTGGTATTGGTTCCAATCTACTACACGGTAGTTCCCAGTAACTTCATGTGGGCAAGTTATAACATTAATTTCTTTCGAAAACTGACGATCTGTACTCTCAATCTCGACTTGCAAAGGTATGGATTTAAAGGTCTCCACTGCATCATTCAACACATGGACTTGCACATCTTGCCATTTACCGCTTAACCCAAGAAATCCGGCGACTTCTTCGTTTAGGAAGGTTTCGTTCGAAGCATCATCAAGTACTGCGTTTACCTTAATTCTCTTTCCATTTGCTTTTATCCATACAGGGATTGTTCTCAGAGAATGCATCTGTACTTTATGGTTAGATTCACCAGTTGTCGTGGTAACCACTCTCGCTTCATCCATTACCCCCTCCCGTGGGGATTTGAACTCGACCTTCTCCTCTGGAAGGTCTGGTTTGTTGCTTTTGTGTTCTGGGTCATGAAGCAATCGATGATGTGTAAGTTGACACCCACCTATGTTGCACTGGCGTGACCTTCGACAATCTTTACCATGGTGGTCAGTGGCAAGGCACCGAAAACATAACTGTTTCTCTTTAGCAGTTTTCCAGCGATCTAATACTGGTCTTTGTTGAAACTGGTGGCAACTCCAGATACCATGCCCAGTACGACCACAAAATGCACAAGGCGGCTTTGTATCCACTGCGTTTCCCGACATATTTGGTTGGTATGACTCATAGCTTCCCTGCTTTCCAGTACGGTATGACCGAAATCCTGGCTTATCACCCTTGTTCTGGTATCCCTTTGACTCAGCATATTTCTGCTCCAGACCATAAGCCATTTCTGCAGCTTCCACTTTAATAGTCACCTCTTCCTTCAACCAGTCACACAAACATATAACAGACTGTTCCTTGCTGCGAGTGCTTAACCATCGACTATAACTTTCCAACTGTCGATCCGATAATTTCTTCACAAGCTGTCGATGCAAAGTTCCTTCTCCTAATTCTGATTATCAGCTCTCAATTTCGCAACTGTTACCCTAACTAGGTCAGCGAACTTTTCAAAGGCATTAACATCATTGTTACGCATAGTCGGCATATTCTCCAATTCATCCATGTAACCTCTCAATTTACGTCGCTGCCCACCAAATTTCGACTGAATTATTTCTTTCGCTTCATCATACTCGGGTGCTGATACTCCTAAACCACGAATCGCTTCCAAAGTTCGACCAGACAAACTCTGTCGCAATCTTGCCATCTTTAGATGCACCGGCTCGTTCGATTTGTCAACTAAACTTTCAAATAGGCTCCAAAATTCTTCAAACTTTGCTTTATTTCCATTGTAATCAGGTACTCTTAGTGGTTTTAAATGGCGGTTTAGAACTGAACCTCCCGTGTACGATGGTGTATGTGTTGGACTTGATGAACTCGATTGATTCTGCTCCACTGTTTGCTGTATCATACTAGTTCCTATTGCGCCTTGATCGATTGCGCCTTGCACTGCTTGTTGCTCAGTGTTACTGGTCACAGTGGGTTGTGTCTGTCCTTCGTTCATCAAATTACTCGCAGTAGAACTGGTACCATTAGTTACCTCGTCATTATCATTGTCTTGACTGACTGTAGCGTTGCTTTCAAAACATCCTGAGATCAGAACAGCCTGTGCCTTTTCGATCGCTTGTTGACATTCCAGTTCTAGTTCGTTTGATTCCTTCATTAACGCCTTTTGATTTTCACCGTCCTTTTTCCCCAAGTAATAAACAGACAATTCATCCATAATATTCTGTGTCTCTTCTAGTGACGATCATAAATCCTCTACCCTATGCTCAATCTCTTCTTTGTTTAACGTTGCTTTTGACACACTAAATGATTTTTCAAGTTGATGTCTTACTTTTGTTGTATCCCATTTACTTGCACGTTTGCGACGACCTAATTCCAGGGAAATATGAAGGTTTTTCATACCCTCATCAACAGTGGATTGCTCCACACTGCTTTGAATCGGTTCTGACTCATCCCCTGACATTGTTAATAGTCACACAATTTAAAATATTAGCAAAGTTATTGTTATAACAAACGACCAGATTATTTTATTTTCAACGATATAGGTAGAATGTTACTCCTCTAATGTATGTCTTTCGAAAATTCCTGTTTACCAATGTCACTATGTAGAAAATTTGGCATAAATCATGCCTCAAGCATCAAACCTGAATATATTGCATAAATTAGCATATATTATGCAATACGATCCCAAACATATTTTAATACAAAGGCCTGAAAATTCACATTTTTACGACAAATATTCAAAGTTTATAGTATTCCAGTTTCTTTTACTTAGCTGCTGCCACAAATAGTCGATAATCCCAACAAAGACACGAACGTTCAAGCGATAGATAGACGATAACCCGCAATAATAACACCAAAACTGTCACGACGAAATATTCGCACGCAAATTCCAACGAAGTATACACGTAAATTAGACGCCAAATTCTTTTATTCGTCCTGGCAGGATCGCCAAATGTTTAGTAGACGATAGCTCCACTCGGTATAATAATAAACTCATAAACAATTTAATAAGAAACTATAAAATAAACGAGAAAATAACACTTTTGTTCTTCGATAAATAAACCTTTTACGATAAGTTTTCGAACCACGAACACGCTCTCGTCCCAGTACTTTTGCTCGTCCAAAACACTAATTATTTTAATATGAATGTAAACAATATATATATTAATAGTTGTCCACTCTCCTTAA